TAAATCATTTTTACGGCTGCTGACCTCCACGGTGTTTAATCTGGCAATATCCAGAATTTTCTTTCGGACGACAAATATCGGATATATTGCGAAGGTTCGCCGTACTATTTTAATTAATAATGCAGAAGGCACGATAAGCAATTAGGTCAAAAACAGTCAATAAATGTGGAATACTCCTTCGTAATTCACTCTTTGCCAGAGCAGAAAGCATTCGGATGTAAACGAGTGATAGCACTTGTGTTATTTCCCAGTCTCTTCAGTCAAAACGTTTCACTTTAGGTTCCGTACGGTGCAAAAGAAGCTGGAAAGTTAAGAAAGATGCATGAGCTTTGGCCACCAGATCGCCACGCTGTCTTTTGCCTCACGTATTCAATTCTCGTTTTCTGGACAATGAGGTAAATACCACATCGTAGCTCTTTTTGCAAATACTTATTCTATTTTTATGTGTTTTGTGCTGTGTAACAGTAGTACAAAACGCATACTGTCACGGGGTTGTCTGTGTGCGTGTGTTTGTATGTGTGTCCCACATTTTGTCCCGCACTTTCAGCTCGGGAACCACAGAAGCTAAGAGGTTGAAGTTTTGGTATAGTGATCCCCGCTAGCGGGTGACGCGGCAGATTTAAATTCATTCTTCCCGTACCCGCGGGTAACACGTACGGCACCCTAAAAGTTTTTCGGGTAAGATCAGTATCTCGGGAACCACGGAAGATAGAAGGCTAAAATTTTGTGAACATGTCCCCTGCCCGTGTACTACCCAGAAAATTTAAATTCAGGTTTTTCTGCCTGCGGGTAAAGTGTGTGGCTCTATGAGAACTTTTGACGGGTAAATTATTATCTCAGGAACCACAGAGTCTAGGAAGCTGAAATTTTAGGGTAATGACCCCATGCCCACGCTCAACCTTGCCCATTCAGATTCAGCGTTCTCGCGCTCTCGGGCACCACCTACGGGCTAGTAAAAGTTTACGAGTAAATTATTATCTCGGGAACCACAGGGTTTAGGAAGCTGAAATTTTAGGGTAATGATCCCCTGCCCACGCTCAACCTTGCCCATTCAAAATCAGCGTTCCAGCGCTCTCGAGTATCACCTACGGCCTCGTAAAAACTTTGGCGGGTAACTATTAACTCGGGAATCACGAAAAGATATTCACTCTTCAAGGTTTCGGATTAGCTTTCATGCGCAGGTGCGTGAAATTTTTAACTATTTTCCAATGTTTGAACTGTTTCTGTATAGACTAAAGTACAGAGCAGTAAAAATCATTAATAGGCAGTCGTTCGATGGGCTGAATTGCCCAAAACGCATGATCGCACCGGCTAGTCTGGTGCGCGTTGCTATTTATCTTTTCATTGTGTCAATGGTAGTGCTCGCGAGTGCCAGGTGTTTTTCGAATCATGGGCGATGAAAGCGCAGTTGTTGAATGAGTTGTTGCAAGAACGACACAAAAAGTTTTATTATCGCTCCAGGTACGGTATGAATTCGTCGGGTCGTCCTCATTCTAAAGATACGAAAAAGGATGTTGGACGGGGAGCTATGCAAAAGTGTTTCGAGACTGTCATCCTTTCTGGTCTTATTTTTGCGCTGACTTTACACATGCAACGAATTGGTGAGCTGCATT